GGACATTTGTCACTTGAGTGAAATTAGAAACTAAACACTATAATGAAATTCACTGCTAGTTTGTAAATATTTCCTCTTTGTAAAAAATCCTGCTGGCAAAATTTGTCCTAAAATGTCTATTGTATACAAAAAATCTAACTACAGATCTACCTGCAACTGACAGAAACATTCAGACAATTATCCTTGAGCAAGATTTGTTTCTTAACACTTATTTGATGTACAGGAAACTACAGCAATCACCCATTATCACTGGTTGTTTTCTTGCCGCAAAGTTAACCTGCAGAAATAGGAGCAAAAGTTTCACTTCCTCCAGCTTACTCATGCAGTCCTTGTAGCAAACAAACTTTTATTAGGCATTCTTGCGAACTTATATTACAGCTGTTCATTTCTTTGGACCACCAAAAAACAGCAGAGGGGGAAAAAAGAGCCATGCTTCAATAGAGACTCTTCTGTACGCAAAAAAAAACCAAAACAAACAAACAAAAAGACAGGGCACTTGCTGTTTATCAGTAAGAGCTGAAAAAAGACATAGATTACTGTTACAGATGTAGATTTCATGTGAAGTCAGAAAGTTGTAGCAAAAAAAATGACAGTTGCTGCATGGGTAAAATGCTACACTGGGCATTTAAAACATTTCATTATAATAACAGCTTTTGCATAGGACTCATTGACATCTGAGAATATTGTATCTGGTAGCAAATTAAAATCTGCAAATTTCCATTAGGTTGGTAATTGCTGCTGTTCCCATTTTCAGGGTGGTTAACTTGAGATTTAGTGAGCATAGTGAGTATAGTGAGCTGCCACTCACCACAGGGTATGTGTGGCAGAAGGTGGATCATATATAATGTAATGAGCTACAAAATTACACTTAAGGAAATACTGTAGATCCATCTGACTTCCACTGACAAGCATACGTTTTCTGACATATCTACAACCAGTTAATGGAAATGAATACTTCAGATCATGGTGAAAATACAGAATGGAATCTTTTACTCTCTGGGACAATCCTCCTCACAAACATACATGCTTTAAATATTTAGTTTTCTTCTGTGAGCACTGTACCAACAAATACCCTAACTGTATCCATCATGTCTTGAAATGCCTGTAATTTACGTAAGGCCCAGTTTTGTACCACTACTTCATATGGGTAGCAAAACATGCTCTGATACACAAAGGTCTCAAGGTCCTTAACACCACTGATTTCTTGGCTTTCTCCTCACACAGTCCCACACATTTCAATGTTCTCAAGTGGTAAAATATTGTCACACACCTTATTCACTCCAAAGTGAATAAGAAGAAAGCATTGTGCTAGATTCAAAGATCTGTAAGCATCTGCTTTTATCATAAATTTATTATGAAGCTGATAGAGGTAACCATTATTGCCAGAGCCTACTGCTTAGCTATTATTTCAAGCTTTTGCATCTGTTTTAGTGTCTGTCTTGTAATTTATTAAGACATTTCTTTCACTTTCTTGTAAAATGTCTGCCTGCGTGCTTACTGCCAGAGCCAGGAACACTTTACTGTATGCACTACTGATCTGTTCCAAGGTTAACTGCAGCTGCCCTGTGCAGCTTGATGGAAGGGTACAGGAGGGCACAGCTTGGGGATACTGCCATAAAGCATGGCCAGAACCATGTGCACCATTACATACAGAACCTATAGGAAAAGAGGCCAACTTCCCATTAAAAACTCCTGTCCCCTCCTTTTTGGAAACCAAGCATAGTTGTGTGCAGACAGATGCTCCTGGGGTTTTGTTGCAGTTCAAGCTATGAGAATACAGCTCTGAAAGAAGCAATAGTTATTGTTCTCCCTGACTCTTTACTCTCTTTAGAAACAGCCAAATGTGTTACTTAATAGCTTTTTATATAAAGCTTCAAGCAATGCTCTGTTGACTTCTGCAGCTGTGAAGGGTAAACTATCGGTATAATGTACTTTCATATCTTTTATACAGGCCAAAACCTGACTTTCTTTCTCTCTTTCCAGTAAAATAGCATTTCTGCATCAACCTTTCCCTTTCATAAGTGTGCCACTTTCTTAATGCTTTGCCAAATGCCTGCTTTTTTCTTTTATGCATGTAAGTAGAAGCTGCTGTGCGCAATGATTAACAACTGTGTCTGGCATATATCTACAGCTTTTATATCTATTTCTGTCTAGGCCCTGATTCTGCAGACCTTTATGCTTCACTTCACACAGCATGAATCTGCGACTTTCACTCTCGCTTTAAAATGTATAATAAAAATGAAATTATCACTTGGGTAACTCTTGCTTTCTTAAATATATCTGTTACCAAGCTTCACAGAAATATTTAAACAACATTTAAACAACAAGCTATTTAAACAACCTGCTAATTTGATGGATTCTAATTTCCTTAAATTCACATAGAATTATGAAGTAAAACATGAAATAAATCATGAAGTGAAAACCCCATGTAATTTTACATGAAGTAAAACTTTAAAAAAATATACATCCATAACAATGTGTTAGTAATTGAATTTAATATTTCTGACATACATTATATGAATGATAATTTAAATGAGCCATACTTCCAAGTCAACTTCCAGATCTGAGTGATATCTGAAATGAGCGAAATCAATACTTCAGATGCTGTAATGGGCTTATCACTCATGATGGAATGAGCACTGCTGGCAGGAAGCTATGCTTAATATTAACAACTCACACCTGGATTTGTATTCAGCAATTTTTTGCAAAACTGAAGAGAGGGAAATAAAAAGATGAGATGGATAAACAGAAAGATGAATGGGAAATAACAGGAAATAGAAATGGGTATAAGATAAAATGAGAATTATGTAACACTATATAATAATAATGGGAAAGAATGGGAAATAGAAAGATGAGTATAAGACCAGTCAAATATAATTTGCAACAGTTACACTTCTGAGTAAGACTTACCAGTACCTATCAGCACTGAGAGTTCCTCCAGTTTAATCAAATGGCTATAACAAATTTTTATCTATCTTACAACACTATTTCCATACATGTAAAGTTCTATTAAAGATGAAGAGGATTCCTTCTCTGTATTAGCAAAACTAAATCTGTCCCAGATTCTCACGCTAATTCGGCTAACAAGGTACTACAACTTCTTTTCCTTATCTAATAATTTAAAAAACATTAAGTCTTCTCACATTGCTGATTATAATAGAGTAGAATGCAGCAAGTGTGAAATTTTGTACTAAATTAAGGAAGAGAATCACATTTAATATTTTAATCTTTTACTACAGAAACCTACAAGGAAGCAGACAATTCCAGTCTTCTAATTTATCATGTTTAAGCATTTTTGCATTACTTCAAACTAAGAAGTACAGACAGATTATCTTCTCTCCTGTGTTCAAACTTGCACTTGAATACTTGAGTGCTCTAAGGCCTTGTACGATAATACCTAATTGTACAAGATGTGAAGAGAAAGTTGCATAATCTGTTGCTGAGTACAAGTAACATACATTTTCTTACATGGTTATCTCCCCAACATACATTCTCTTACATGGTTATCAGCTCCATACATGGGGAGATAAAGTAACTTTTCCAGGTGCCACAGAATGACACAACAGTTTCAGTTTGAAGGAACTTTTGAAGATCACCAGTTCGATCCCCCTGCCACAGACAGGGCCACCTTTCACTAGACCAGGTTGTTTAAAGACACATCCAGACTGGCTTTGACCACTCCCAGGGATGGGGCAGCCACAGCTTCTTCAGACAACCTGTGCCACTGCCTCACCATCCTCATCATAAAAAATTCCTTCCTCATATTCAATCTGCATCTACCCTTTTTCAGTTTAAAACTGTTGCTCCTTGTCCTCTCACTACAGGACCTGGTAAAGTCTTACTCCGTCTTTCTTATAAGCCCCCTTTATATATTGAAAGGCTGCAGTAAGGCCTTCCTGGATCCTTCTCTTCTCCAGGCTGAACAAGCCCAAGTCTCTCAACCTTTCTTCATAGGAGAGGTCTTCCATCCCTTATTCCATGTTAAAATACATTCCATCCAAAAGCTCTACCTCACTTCCCTACTTCCTGAGTTCTTAACAATAGGCTGGTCTGGAAATTAAATTATCTGGTGGCCTATACATCATTCAATTAAAAAAAACAAAACCAAAACCAAAACCTATATGTAAGAAATTATAAACTTGGGGTGAAAGACTGCATATGTGCATGTATGTGAGTGCACTGGCAAGTTTAGGAGATGATAACAGCAAAGAGCTTGGTGATTACATTTTAATATACTTCAGCAATTCTCCTAACCTGATCATACACATGAGCATGTTACTAGAATGATACAGAATATTACATCAGTGTAGACAGTGAACATAAATTCTTACTTTTATACCCAAAAGAAAACTAATTCTTCATGTTTATACATCTTTTAGAAAACAGTATTCATGGCCATCATCTTTCTATGCATCTCACATGTAACACACAGAAGATGTTTATATAGAGATGTTTATAAAATAGAGAGCATAATTAGGCAGAGTTATATTTACTTTATATGTATTTCAGAAATTGTTTCTGTATGCATAAAAGTTTTATACAGATAACTAGCTATGAAGTAAGAAATAGGTATGTATCCCTTGTGCTACTTTTTCCTGTTACTGTATCTCTTTTCTTTAGATTCTTTCCACGCTTCTTCTCATTTCCCTGTCATGTTCCCCCAGTTTTCCTTTAGTCTGGCATATCCTTCAAATTTCTGGGGTTTGTTTTTGTTTCTACCTTATACTGGAGCAGGCCTGGAGAACCGTCTGCCTCTCCTCACCATCTGCAGCTGGAAATTATGGCTATAATCATCCCAAATCATTCTTCCCTCTTCTGCCAAACCTGTACCTGAATGGCCTGACACATCTACATGTCTTTCAAAATTTTACTGTCTTGGCTGGGAAGTCCATGGACCATAACTTTTGCCCTGAACTCTATTTTTCCTGAGCTAATGACCTGCATTAAAAGTCAATCTGGTTACTGGCTATGGTCATCATGAGGAAGGAAAGAGTACTTACAGTTTTACTCCAGGTGAGACCTGTGGTATGATGCTCTTTGATATAAGCTTGAAGCTCAGACCAGATGTTCAGATATGACTTCACCCAATCAACATGGCGTGTGTCACTGTAAAAACAGAGACAATACTTATATGTGTGAATGTACTTAAAACCTGAAAGCACTGCTATTCTTGCTTAAAGCAGGTAAAACCCAATGTCTGCCTTAAAGCCATGGACAAATCAGTTAGCAGACAGCCAGCCAGCCCAGTGCTGAAAATACTGAAGCCTACTGCGTTGGAAAGCTTTTAGATCCTTCCATAGACAAACAAAGGCAAAGGATGCCTCTAGCACAGAGTGATTCATGAAGGTGCGTCATCATTCCAATCAGGCTCCAAGCCAACTGAAGCAGCACTAAAGGTACATGGAATTGTGCAGCAGCCTCTCAGACCCAGTTTCAGGGTACTGAATTTTAGAAAATTAGACATCCATGGGTTCTGTAAAGCATTCTAGTTTCCAAGTTCAAATGTAGCCAGGGTAATACTGGATCATGTTATAGTCATCAGACTAAAATATTTATACATCAAGAATTTGTCAAGTACAAGTCACAGTTGGCTCTGGAAACATTATCTGGAAGGCTTAGTCTTCTTATGGGACAGTAAGTGAAAACAAGAAATATGTAGAGAGAGAGAGAAACTGCTTGTAAGATTAAGTCCTTAGTTATGAAAAATTATTACTAAGTAGTGATGGCTATGGACTGGATGCTTGCAAGGATTTGGGTGTCTACCTCGTATTTATTTCCTTTGGAGTTTGATTATTAATACTGCTGAGGATCTGAGTCAATAGGTTTAATCCAAAGCCTACTGAAGTCAAGGGAAAGCCTTCCACTACTTTGGAAGACATTGTGAAAAACAGGAAACAAATTCCTTATTAGGGGAAGAACTAAATACCTAAATAATGTAACCTGTTTATAGTGTTAGGTAAGACATTTTCTTCTTCAGAAGTACTAAAGCTGTATTCTAAATATCTTCAGTAACCCCAGGGGGTACTACCTTCAGTAGGTAAACTAAGGCTTCGGGAATAATACATAATATATATAAAATATAAAATACTATATATAATACATAATATATATTTAAACCTAGACAATAAATAGAAATCTATACAACTGGGTTTTATATAGATAAAGTTTTCCTCACTAAAGAGGAAAAACTCAATAGCAAATACTGTTCTTCACTGGGATAGAAAAACCAAGATCCAAAATGTGGCTTCCAAAAGTTTCAAATCAACATGATTTATACATGACTTTTCTAAGAGGGCATAGAAAGGACCTGTATTTTTTTCTGTTTTGCTGTCAGCTCACAAATCTCATTCACAGAACTTTTTAATGAATTCCTTGTGCTCTTAAAAACAATCCAGTGGTACAGAAAAAAAAAAAAATCAAATTGGTAGCTATGAAATTAGACGCTCTGTTGCATATATCTACCACCTAAGTGCACACTTTCAAGCAAAGAGCAAGAACAGCCACAGTATGAGTGCACAAATGAGACAAAGATGCACAGCAGCTAGTTGGCCACACACTGATATGTAAATATACGTTTACATATAAGCTTATGATGCTGTAATGCCAGAATCCTGTCGTTTGCAGAGACGGAAAACCAGCACCGCTGGTGCTGCTGCCATTCTCACTGCAACATGCTGCGGGTCAAAGATGAGGAGAAGAAAATATACTACTGCAAGCAGATTTTATCAAATGCTTTTTAGTTTACAAAATGCTTTCTGTGATGGCATTGTGAACCCTGTCTGTATGGTTAATACTCTGTTCTCTGGCTACTAGATAGTGGGGCTTGGCAACATACCTGTGCTTGTAGTCCTTTAATACCCTGTTAGTATAAAAGGTAGCAGCATCATTCATCTCCTTGACATAAGGGCCTGGTTTAGGAGACTAGGAACATCAAACCATGGTAGCAGGAAATAACAGAAGGAGAAAGGAAGTAAAAAATTAGTCAGATACTTTCCCTGATGTATCAGGTATATTACAGAACACCTTCTTGGGTGTAGTAGACTGAAGAACCATGCAGATGAGACTGCAGAGTTCTGCAAGATTTGAAACTATTCTGGGCCACGCCATCCAGAAGCACATTTACAACCCTTCCAACCATCCCGTGTGTCACTCACCACTGCTATCCACCCAAGGGCAGGTATGCTTTCACTGACGGCTGAGAGGTGGTTGAACATTTTACTCCCTCTGTTCCTTTCTCTGAAGTTCTGGATTTCCTGAATCTTCTCTGATATTGGCTTGAGAAGCATTGCCACCTCGTTCTGGGGAAAAAAAAGACAAGACGACACTGCTGTTACAATGGGTGGTCCAAAATCACCCTGTGGTTTAACATTGTCCTCCTGCCCATTGATTTAACAGCTGGAAAGAAAGGTCAGCATATTCTCTACATTAAAGTAATAATTTAATTATCTTCCTCTGGTTGCATTGGCAAAATGCACAAACATTAACTATTCATAATGTGCTACAGCAAAAATTTTTCTCAGCACTGGCAGCATTTTTACATGCTGCTCAGGTTAAGACCCATGGAGACCCCATAGCTCAGAGTTAGCAGAATGCTTCTATTTTTCGTCTAATATCCCTGGAACTTTTTGGGAGGCTTTATACTGGCTTGAGTTTTTAAGTTATTAACCAAGTTGTTCTTTCTATAGGAAACACAAATTACTTGGTGGGTTAAGTAAGTGGCCTCTTATCATCTGGCAACAAGACCGAGAAAGTAATACACTGAAGGCAATACCAATTTCAGCTTTCCCTATCGGTAAGTTTTAGTGTTTTGATTTCCTTTGGCTGCAAGTACTGTGGAAGGATTTCATGGGAAACATACTGCCTGCAAGCTATGGCTTGGGGAAATTCTCCTGCATTAAACAGAAATGAATGGTATCCAGGGGAATGACTGTTGAGCGGAAGGAACAGTGTCTGGAGTGAAGAGAAAGGCAGAATGAACGTAGAAGCTATGCAGCCTCTTTCCTGTGCAAAGTGAATGTTAATCACACTGGAAAAAACAATTTAGAGCACTAACTTACAGGGAAGAATTCTTCCACCACTCAGAAACAGCACACTCAAGGGCAAGGAGTCATTAGTTTACAAGCAAAACAACCACTGTACCCTGCAACCTTACAGAATGTTTCTATAAAATCAGTCCAATTCTTTACTGCAAAAGGATGCCTGCAGAACCTATATGATGTCCCACCAAAGAGATTTTCCCTGGCACTTTACTCAAAAATCACTTAGGATGTAGCTGAACAGAATTTTTTCAGTTTTTTTTCTCACCTTTTCTCAGGACTACTTATTTAATGGAACTAAGTGCTTGGTGGAGACAACTAATCCTCATATTCTTGAGCACTAATGCTGTCATGACACATAGCAGATGAGGTGCACAGATGTCGTGCTTCATCTCTGTCATCTGTAAGATATTTCTTTCCATCCTTCCACAAGACCTCAGGTTTCAGAATTTTGTTACCTTAAAATAAGCATGTCTGCTATGGCTCAGCATAGGTCAAAAGACTCCAAACAAGATGACAAAAAGAGGATCTGCATTTTAAAAAGAATTTTAATCCAACTATGGAGCCTAAATATTTTAGTGGTTATGTAATTTTGAGAAAGGCCTATGCATCTGTAACGCATGGGGATACTTGGTCTTTTCCTACAACAAAATGGATTGGAAGAAAACAAATATTTACAGTCTCGCTGGGAGACTTAAAGAGTTTTTGTTGATGGCTTAATGACCAGTGTAAGTCATTCAGTCTGAAAAAGCCCTGAAACCTCCATGATTTGTAGTTCTCAAAAGCTATTTTGTTGCCATAACACGATAAAGTCTGCAAGAATTCTTCTTTCTAATTTTTGCTTTTTTACAGCATGCTGCAGCTGGTCGGTTCTTTCTTATTTTGCAGGGAAATCTTTCAAGTATGACAGTAGTTAAGAAAACTGAAATTTAAGAAAGTGCTTGTTCTGCTTTGATATTATGCCAGTTTTTCCTCCCATAAAGTTTAAGGGATATTTACAGTCCTTAGCTTACTGTGAATCTTCATGGCCCAGTTCCAGCCAGAGAGAATATCAGGGCTAAAAATACAGCTTGACAGATGCCTGGTATATCTAGACAGCACTGTGAGGCAGCACGTTTCTGTGGATAGGGCACAGAAGTGGGAGTCCATAAATGGGGGTTCTCTTTGCAGCTCTCCCACCAAATTATCATCAGGTTTCAGGAAAGCTGGTACCTTTCTGTGTTTCAACTTCCCCATACAAGGAACTGTTTTATTCTGTAGAACACTTCGATATCGACTGATAAGGCAGCAAAATTAGGGCCAAGCGTTTTCCTGAATGGTACCATAAGACCCACACCTCCTCCTACTCCTCCTAGAAAAACTCCTAACCACTTTTGTGTGGGTTTTCTATCAGTGGTACAGACAGAATTTCTATCCCTCATAACACAGCACTTAACCTGTTCAGTCAATCAAGTGTTTATAAAAATGTAGTGGATTTATGTAATTTCACAGAAAAAGTGTCCCATGGGAACTTTAAAGGTGATATATATATTGCTAAGGAAAGTGGCTCAAAGCAGTCATTCATTTGGCACTGCAGTGACACCAGAAAGAGCCATGAGGAGCTTGAGGCTTTGCTGAGCTCTGTCTCACGTGAGATGGGCAGATCAGTCCAGCCTGCCTTCCCCTTGCTGTGCCCTCAGCTTGTTCTGCAATGGCTGCTGCATGCCTGGCTGCACAAAATGTGCATGAGTTTTTGTGCAAGCTTCTCATGATCCAAGTTTCTGTGTTAGGGTTGGATACCAAGGAATACCAGCCTGCACGGAATATTTTCATTGAGTCCTGTCTCCCTGCAATCAGTTCTAAATTTCTAGTTAGTGATTAAACTGCAGATGCATGATAGTGTATATGGCATATGGGTGTAGAAAGGTTCATTAATTCTGGCATTAATCAATCAATCAGTCTTATTTGGCTCTACAATGCAGAACCAGTTGTGCTGAGAGTTCTACAAGAATAATCTCTTTATTGCAATGAATATTAAAACAGCTGATTGGTAATAACATTATTGTCTATACTTTATCTCTAAGACAAAATGAATTCAAGGAGATGAATCAGAGCTGTTGGAAAAATCTTCAGCATGCCTTTGGCATGTGCTAGATAAAATTTCATGTCATTTAATACACAGCACATTTGTTTAACAAAAATTTAAGAGTCTTTGTATAAACACCACTCCTATTATAATACCAGTTTTGCTGAAATGTTTAAAAATGCAACAGTGGAACAATTTAGAAATATCAAAAGTAACTCCCAGTATGCCTTTGTCCTTTTCTATGAATTATTAAAATCAGATGGTCTTTTAAGATATTAATACCTGAACAACCAGCCAGCTTTGATCCAAGTCTTACAATTCTTATTAGAAAATCAATAGTAGACTACAGCAATGATAAGTGACAACACTCCAAGAAAGTTACAGCAAGCAACAAGAACTGCCTTATGCTTTGACTTCAATGTCTCAGCCCAGTCTCATAAAATGACCTGGCATACCAGTATTCCAACAGACTGCACCAAACAGATTTTCTTCTTCTCATTTTTGTAATACTCACATAAGAATTTCCCCAAATGACAGGTTTAACAGGACTGGGGCACATGGATTTAATTCAGGAGAATGGCCAAACTTCTGGCAGTTATAATTCTTGTGATTTGCCTGTGAAATCACACTAAACTGAGTGGCTTGCTTAAACTTTGGCTGCTTAGCCAATGATTACTTGAAAACCTCAGCTTTAATTTGAGAGAATGGGTATTTTCTCAGAATCGTTGTTCAGAAACCTTCCAGCATGAATCACAAAGGCACAAAAACCAGCAGGTAAATAAAAATACAGTTTTTTAAGATCTTATGTATTTTTAAGCTAATTTTACATGGGCTTGAGGGTAAGGTTGTTTACTGAAGAGTTTTTATGTTGATGGGTGGCAACACAATTCAGACCTCACTATTATACTGTTTAAATCAACCTGACCTATTATGAAAAAAACATGGCAAGAGAACAAATACCCTTTTAAGTTATGCTAACTGAGGGGGTGGCAACCTTTGGCATAGGAGCAGTAACAGAAGGCTGAGAGCATTTGGCATCAGCAGCCCCTTCATTTTTTTCAGCTGCAACCAGAACAGCATGACTACGACCTTTATTCCAGGGTCTATGTTTCTGTTCTTTTCTTCTGTGAGTTCAGAATCACCATCATACCTACGCTGTATTTTTCACAAGCAAGTTTGAAACATGGAGTTGATCTGAATTGGCTGTCCTTGTGTATGTTGGCAAGTAGTGCAGCCTAATAGGAATGGTTCTGTAGAGCAAAACAGTTGGTGCTGAGGACTGACATTCACACTACATGTGTTTGTTGGGGACTATTTTGGACTAGCTGTAAACTGCGGTTTAGGTGCTGTCTGGGAGTGTATCTTCCATTTCACTTCATCAGAAAGATACCCATTTTGTATACCCTAAGACTTCTCTACAATGTGAGTCACAGCATAGTAAATGGGACTGATTTAAAGAAAGAATATAGTCCCACTGTGAATTAAAACAGTAATGCAGACACAGCCATTATATCTGCAAATGCTTAGTACAGTCCAATCCCACATGTCACCCTTTCAAGGTATGAAACATGCAATGGATAGCATCAACCAGACTCAGTTCTAAAAATGTAAAAGGTGAGCATCTGCTCTCAGCTGAGTCTTGATTCTCTCATTGTAAATGAAGAAAGAGATTCCCCTGAGGAATTCTTCCTACCTATTAATAGATGTTAGAAGACTAGATAATAGAAGACATTAATAGATGTGAAGAATGTACTCTAGAGGTTCTGCCATTTACTGTAAAGAGAGCCTAGAAAGACACCTTACACAACATGCCTGCCTTGATAGTTCAAGCTGATAAGCAGAATCCCATCCAGTGTCTATAAGAACACAATACGGGTAACTTCAGTGACCACCAGCAAGATGCATTTCAGCTTTGAGTGGCTGTGATTCTAGAACTAAAATAGTTTTAGATTAACTATAATTTCCCATATTTTGTATTTCATAATAGGCAATCTGTAAAGAAGACTTTAAAATTTAAGTTAGTCCTTTTTTGTATACACATGGTTTAAGAAAGGCTTGTCTTTTTTGTTGTAGCTGTGTCAGCAGTATGAATGGAATCAGCATTCAGATTAGGCCATGGAATAACCTTCCTTTAAGTACAGAGAAAATGTATTTTTTTTCCAGAGGTGAATCTAAGCTAGTTGGTAACTTTTGAGAC